TTCATACCCCCAAGTCCTTCTCCACACAGCTGCTCTCAATCCACTCATCATTGCACAACCTGTATTTCTGCTTGGATCTACCCTGATCCATGTGCAAGAACTTGCACTTGGCCTTGTTGAACTTCATGAGGTTTGCATGGTCCCACCTCTCAAGGCTGTCCAGGTCCCTCTGGATGGCACACCCCTTCCCTCCAGTGTGTCGACCGCACCACACAGCTTGGTGTCATTGGCAAACCTGCTGAGGGTGCACTCAGTCCCACTGTCCATGTCACAACAAAGACATTAAAACAGCGCTGGTCCCCTGAGGAATGTCACTCATCCCTGCTCTCCACTCTGACATTGAGTTGTTGACTGCAACTCTTTGAGTGTGACCATCCAGCCAATTCCTTATCAAAGTGGTCCATCCATCACATCCACGTCTCTACAATTTAGAGACAAGGATATCAGTTTTGTGGCCCAGTACAACTCTCTTAGTGATGCCTTTTCCACGTGTATGAGTCTGTATGTATGAGGTAACATCCAGCCCCACAAGGCATCACTTACTACAGAGATTTTTCTGTAGAAAAATTTTTGTAGAAAAAAATGTAGACATTTTTTTAACTATTATGGTATATAAGTACAGTTCTTGACACTACATGCAATTTTGTAGTAAATAGTTTGTGGCTTTTATCTCTGTGCACAATGATGAACTTCTCTCTGTTTCTACAAAACTTTGTAAACAATATTAAGATTGAATTGGTAATTGGATTCAATAGCTCTGAGGTTCATTTCCCTTATGTTTTTCATTTCTTGAGAGGAATTTTTTTTATAATTAAGAATTTTTTAGGTGTTGAAAAAGTGTTGCTGTGGAAGAGTGGTATCTCTGAGTATTAGCAAAACACTACTATGTATTCAAGAAAACAGGTATTTTTAACTACTGACAATGTTGTCACTGCTTAGAAGGGATGGGAAAGGGGGAGAAGAAAAATGGGAATGAGAACTAATTATTATAACGTATCAAAGCAGCAGACTGCTGTGCAAACCAATTCTGCTTGAGCTAAAGCATTGAATTGGACCAGCCCTTCAAACAATTTCTGCATATAGCCTTCAAGATAGTCACCTTAAAATGCTTCTAAAGTATGAATACTCTCAAATATTTTGATATATGCCCATATTACTAATGGAAATATGATTGCTATTATTACAGACAGGTATAATGACTTTTCATTCCTTTTCTACATGTGGATTTTGCAGGATGATGTTGAAAGCTGAGCAAGTTGTTGAAGTTGGTCATAATACATCAGTCAGAAACTTTTGAAAATACAACTTTTCGGTTAAATTAGGGAATCTTTTTACTGTGGAAAATGTATAGTTTTACATTTTCCACTTTTTGTGGCTTTTTTTGTGATAAATACATGTTTAGGGAAACTGATGTGAAAAAACATGGACAGGGTGTTCACAGGTGAAGTAACATTTGAGCTCAGATTCTTAGGAACTGAACCAGGCACTGTGGGGTAAACTCACAGAGAAGAGGGATTCATTGCAGTGTTGAAGTAGCAAAAGGACCCAGCTCTCACTGACAGACTTCACTCTGCCAAGGGTGATGAATCTCCTGTATAAGTTTTATTGTACAAGGTTAGGCTCCAGCACAGTCACCCTTGAGTTCACAAAAACAGTCACTGAATGTGCTGGCAAAACATGCAGGAAAAGATGAGAATAAATATTTGTTTCAGTAAAAATCAGTAGCTAGGGATCCTAACTTTTCTAAAAGTGTATACCCAGAGCTCCTGCCCTTTCACCGAGAGCACCTCTACCATATTATCTGAAATCTGCCATATTAAAATTGTAACTACTACTAAGAGAGGTGCTAGCATTCTTAAGGTAATTTAAGAATCTCTTCATATTATGATGAGCAATGCATCAGAATTAGTGTGAAAGCTGGTGAGAATAAAATGATGGCTAAAACATCAGACTGAAAGGTGGTGAAAAGCCCAACAGCCATATGCTTTCTCTCTGACTGAGCTAAAGGAATGATTGGATAAATGAAGACTGACACAGCAAAAAATTCCTTTACAAAAGACTTTAGAAAAAGCCTTCTACAATATTTCAAATTGGAAAAAAAAAAAGTCCAAGATGCTTGCACACAATTCATTTCAGCAAACTCCATTATATCCAAAAATCTCAAACAAAAGCCCTCTTCAAGTATTTCAGTAAGTATACATTTCTACAGACCAACATGTGCTTGAATTGCCTTTTAGTTATGGCACAGAGGGAACTTCCTAAATACAAAGGTCTGTTTGTTGTCAACTGCTTCACAATGTACATTCATGAAAAATGTTATAGGTTAGGCAGTTTCAGTATGTGTAATGTCACCTGGAAGAAATGTCATCAGGGCTGGCACTGATGCGGTGTGGGGAAAAAAATCAATGTATGCATGGCTTGGCAGCATTTGCAAGTGTTCAGTTTGTAACCTCAAAACTCAAGGGAGGGCAGTCTGAACAAACACAGCAGGAGTCATCAGACTCTTTCCTCATCTCTACACACACATAATATCATGCTGTTCCTTTCAAAACATCGTAAAACAGTACAGTATCTAGCAAAAACCAACGCTCCTCTTGTCAGCAGTAACTCTCATACTGCTCCTTTAACACACAATTTAGGGAATAAATAAACAGCAGTGCCATTTGCCCCACCCCACGAAGGACCAATCTATCAAACCCACCAGTAGTGGACAAATCTTGATCTGCTGTGGTGATACAGTACTCACACCCTGAGGGATGAGCTCTGCTGTCATCTACTGATGAACAGCAGGGCTAAATGGTTTGTCATGCCTTCATATGGCAAACAAAGAAATAATCAAACATTTTGCACAGATGCAACTAGAGAAGGCAACATGATGCTTTTCAGCTCCAAATGCTGCATAAACAGTGGTAAGTATCTGACAGCAAAGTGTGGCCTTATCTTTCCCTCAGCATTTAAACATACAGCTGAGAGAAAGGATGTCTGATGTGGCATACCAGAGAGGGATGAAAAAGTTAGATTTCTTATCAAGAAACTACTTCTATGATTACTGATGCAGCAATTTTGAAAAACTTGCATTGATGTATATAATTCCACATTTATTTAAAATACTCAGATACAGCTTCTGCTACACAAGTTTGGCGTACTTGAGAAATGGGTAATTATTGAATTTTTCTCTCTAAAATTATGCAGGTCCAAAAACTGTAGTGAGATTTTTTCAAACAAGCCAAATTTTTTCATCACAAATTACGACAGAATTACAGAACAATAGAATGGTTTGGGTTGGAAGGGAGCTTAAAGATCATCTAGTTCCAACCCCCCTGCCATGGGCAGGGACACCTTCCATAGACCAGGTTGCTCAAAGCCCTGAACAACCTGGCCTGGAACACTGCCAGGGAGGGGGCAGCCACAGCTTCTCTGGGCAACCTGTTCCAGTGCCTCACCACCGTCACAGTGAAGAACTTCCTTACATCTAATCTAAATCTATCCTCTTTCAGTTTAAAACTGTGACGCCTCGTCCTATCACTACATTCCCTGATAAAGGGTCCCTGCCTTTCTTTCCTGTAGGCCCCATTTAAGAACTGGAAGGTTGCTATAAGGACTCCCCAGAGCCTTCTCTTCTCCAGGCTGAACAGCCCCAACTCTCTCAGCCTGTCCTCACAAGCGAGGTGCACCAGCCCCCTGATCATGTTTGTGGCCCTCTTCTGGACCTGCTTGAGCAGGTCCATGTCCTTCTTATGTTGGGGGCCCCAGAGCTGGACATGGTACTCCAGGTGGGCTCTCACAAGAGTGGAGTAGAGGGAGAGAATCACCTCCCTTGACCTGCTGGCCACACTTTCTTGATGCAGCCCAGGATACAGTTGGCTTTCTAGGCTGTGAGTGCACATTGCTGGCTCATAATCAGTTTTCCATCCACTAATACCCCCAAGTCCTCCACAAGACTGCTCTCAATCCACTCATCTCGCAGCCTATATTTGTGCTTGGATCTGCTCTGACCCATGTGCAGGACTCTGCACTTGGCCTTGTTGAACTTCATGAGGTTTGCATGGTCCCATCTCAAACCTGTCCAGGTGCCTCTGGATGGCACATCCCTTCCCTCCAGTGTGTCGACTGCACCACACAGCTTGGTGTTGTTGGCAAACCTGCTGAGGGTGTACTCAGTCTTACTGTCCATATCACCAATAAAGATGGTAAACAGCGCTGGTCCCAATCCTGACCCCTGTGGAATGCCACTCGTCACTGCTCTCCACTCAGACATCGAATTGTTGATGGCAACTCTTTTGAGTGTGACCATCCAGCTCATTCCTTATCCAAGTGGTCCATCCATCACATCCATGTCTCTATAATTTAGAGACAAGTCTGTCGTGCAGGACAGTGTCAAATGCTCTGCACAAGTCCAGGTCGATGACATCAGTTTTTCTTCCCTTATCCTGTAACGCCGCTATAGAAGGCCACCAAATTCATCAGGCATAACTTGCCCTTAGTGAAGCCATGTTCACTGTCACCAATCACCACCTCATTTCCCACGTGCCCTAGCATAGTTTCCAGGAGAATCCACTCCATTATCTTGCTGAGGATTTTGGTAGAATGGTAAAGAATCATTCAATTAAGTGTTTCTGTTATTTTAGAGCAAGATTTCTCAAAGTAAGAATGTCTATCTCTTTTGATTAAATTTCCTCATGATCAGGGTGATGTTGCTCTGGGAAAGGTACCTTATCACAGAAAACAGCCAATCCCCACAACTAGCCTGGGATGTAGGACACACAAGTTCAAATCTCCACTGTTTCAATCTATCAGGGATTCAAATATGACTCAAGGAGTGAAGGAAGGAAAGATAGTATTCTTGCTTGCAAACAATGTTCTATAATCAGTTCTGAGGGGATTAGCTCTAAGTGTATGCAGAGTCATGCACAGAAAAATCATTGTACTACACTTTGTTTATGCAAGGAAGTGTTTGTATTTTTTTTTTTTTTTACTTTACTTTACTTTACTTTACTCACCATTCCATGATTTAGCCACGCTGGTATAAAATTATCAAGCAGTTTTGGGTAAACCAGTTCCCTGTCATATATATAGATGCTCCAGAACATCGTCACAACAAACTAAGGAGAAAAAAAAGAAAATACATTACATTTTAAAATACATGCTTCTGAACAATTTGCTACACATTTTAGATAGCAAAATGGGGCATTTAGCAAATGATCTATGGACACAGACATTACTGCTCTTTGACCAAATCCTGCTTTAATCAACAGTGTGAATCTGGATTATTCTTTGCATTCACAGGAGTTTTAACTTTTTTTCTTAGGGTTTTGTTGTTTTTTGGGTTTTTTTTGACTTTCAGCCTGGAAAAAAAATCTCATTTTTTGACTTACATGCCTGTGGCCAAATTACAACTGAGTTCTACACTTTAATAGCAGATGTGGCACATAAATAATGTTTCACCACTAACAGGATAAAAAACAAATGGAAAATTAGGTAAAATATCTCTTGGAATTCATAGAACATATAAATATGAAACATTCACCCTGATCAGAAGCCTATAAACTCATTGCATTTTTTCATGTCAGCCATCAAAATAGCATTGTTTTAAAAAAAAAAAATCTAACCCTTTAACTACACTGCACACAATTCATGGACTGGGATCCACAGAAAAGAGGTCTAATATTCTGCTCATTTGTCAACATGAAATTTGGCTCCTCTCTTGTCAGAGAATATTTACCAGGAGCCCAGAGAAAGAATTAGGACAGGACAGATGGCTCAGATAAAGTTCACACTCGGCTAAATTTTTGCCGAAGTGTGCAAATTCTTTAAAGATACCCTGATGTCTGAAAAGCAAAGACAATATAAAACTGCAAAAACTTAGAGAAATAATAGTTTTAGCTTACCTTAGCTGGGGAAAGAAAAAAGTCATCTTCTAATTAGAAAAACTGCTTTCTTATTTTGAATTTGAGTCATAGTAGTAAAAGGCTTATTGTTTACAGCAGTAAAACCCAGTACCTGGACCAGGGTTTTTTCAATGGCCATTTTCAGGGAATCTCTACATAGTAGCAACAAGTCCAAGTTTAAAGTTTGAGAGGCAACAGATAGGACTTTCACTGAGATCAGTAGGGAAGTATTCAGTTACACCCAAACTGACGCGGCCCATAATCTTACAGCTAATTGGGGGTCAGTAAAATAAAGTTCAAGAAATATGAGGTGAGCACAGCAAGGTCAGCAAATTACTAGCGTATGTGATAGTACAGGCACAAATTGTTTCATATGCTCCTGGCTTCAGAAAGTTAAAATTGAGGTTACAGTTTATCAATGGCACCTTGTTCTAACCACAGACACGGAGACTTTGGCCAGCCAGTTATGTGAATGACCTGAACCAGTACACTGTTCCCTCAGTGTGCATACAGTACATAGTTTCTTGGTTTCCAACACACTTGTCCATCTGTTATGATAGCTATTGGTGCCTGCTCAGAAGAAGCTTGACTACTTGACTAGTGCACAGAGGCCAAGAAAAAAAAAAAGTTTATGATGGACAGCCCTAAAAATATTGCAAGTGTAAGTCTCTCTTTTGGGCCAGTCTTGGCATTGGCACAGACTAGCTCTTTATACACCTGCTGACACATAAGTGCCAAGATATGAATAGCTGAACAGCAGGGAAAATGGAAGCAAAGTATCCTCTTCTCTATAGGCTTCCTAGAAATCACAGTATTATCACAGTGGGTCTCTGAGAATCTGCTAAGACCAACTGGGATATAAAAACATTCTCAGCTGCATGAAGACCAAGATTGATAATGCTTTTTTCCAAGGAAGTCTTACAACAAGAAAAATCACCCAGGATTAGGTTGAACTTTATTACACTGGATACAACAAAGCTGTCATGTTTTGACCTGTGATTTTTGTGTGGAGCAGAATAAAACAATAAGACCTTGCCAAGGAGGTAAAGATAAGAAAAGATGGGACATGCCATCTGTCCCTTAACCAAAGTCGGCCAATGGATGGAATGGGATCAGCTTAGCTGGTTGCAACCATCTGGAGCTACAGACGGCAAATGCTGCTTAGCAAAGCACTATCACGAGGCAGACATAAGGTAGAGGAAGTGCGCAGAACCCAAGGTGTTACAGAACTAACCTATCCTGGAGGACAACCTGACATGAGACTAATGCAGCGCCCTGGGGAAGATCCCTTCCACTGTCTGAATGGATCACCTTACCTTTCTTTACAATTAGTTCATTTGGATAAAATGAACTACAATAATGAGCTATTGTACTACGAACTAAAATGAACTATAAAAATGACCTATTTGGATAAAAAGAACTATAACAAGAACTTGCTACTTACCTACCTTGGTTGCTTCTGAATTTCTTTACTTTGATTAATGGGCAACTGTTAGTATGGTGCTTTTAAATCACCTCTACTTACACTTTGGTAGTGGTACACCTTTATTTGGGCTGGGCTTTGACAACATAGTCATACATGGTCATGCAGTGCCAGACCATGATATAACTGATCTGCTTCTTTACACTGCCTATGCAAGGCTCAATCAGGATTGCAGCTCTTATGCTCATGCTGCCTTCCTTGTGGCACAATTCATCACTACAGTGGAGACAGTCATGGTAGTACCCTCACATGACAGGCTGAACTGGCTGCTCGTATACAGCAGACATCTTTCAGGGAGTCCAATACTTTTCTTTTGTTCCCAAGGCAAAATGGAACAAATGTCACCCTTCCACTTCTTCTTTAGACAAACTTGAGGTCTGGAATTCAAGGAAGAAAACAGGCACCAGCAATTGTTTTTACATTTCTTTGCACAGGAGCCTCCTAAGACTGCCAACTTTCTGAAGACAGTGATTACTTCATTAAACGTAAGGCTAAGCAACAAGTAAAAGAAGAGTCCCTCATTTGTTACTTATCAAATGATATAAGTTACTTATCAAATAACCTAGGGTCATTACAGACCAAAGGAACCTCAAAATTGCAAGTAGAGCTAGGAAACTGAAAATATGGAGTAGCTCACTTCTCGCAGGCATGTAAAGTATTGCTAAAAAAATACACGGCAGCAGGAAAAAAATAAGGCTGAAAACTAAACTATGTTTTCCCACTTAAGGAGATATTCTTTGAGTTTTTGTCCTCTGTCTCTGAAGCTTCAGCACATGTGAGAAGAGCATGTGGCACTGCCAAAGGAAAAATTGTAAAGGACAAGTTGGGAAATGGTTTGTGATTCAAAAGGGAAAAGAAGTGGCTTTATCAAAACACCACAAATGGAAGCAAATACAAACTAAGAGAGGAAGGCCAGTGAAAAGAACTCCATAATTTGCTGTTTTACATGAGTCTAACCAAAAAATGCTATGCAAATGAAGACTTAACCCAGTGGAACTTCATTTTCCTGCAGTATGTGTTTTTGGTTTTGGCTGGGCTGCACAGTTCAGTTCACTCATTTCCTGGATAGCCTCATGAAAAAGAAAGAAAACCCCAACCCTTTGACCTTGACAAAATTTCTTCTAAGTACAGCTAAAAGTAAGCTTTCTGGCTATTTCCCAAGACATCTGCAGTTAACTGCAAGTATAAATACATTGTTTGTGAGCCTCTTTGAGGGGTAAAGGTATTACATATAGAAGCAAAGTGTTATTAAAGGCAGACTACAACAAGCACAAATTGGCATAGTTCTGGCCTTAGGTGGGATCTAGTGCTAGCACAGCATCCCACCAAATGAATTGGAAAAGGGCCAGTGAAGGAAATCACAGGGAGTGGGAACTGGAAATCAGGGAAGACTCCCCTCAGAGAACAGAGTTCAGGAGGCAATTGCATCACTGCTCACTCATGTTCCCATCACCAGCCACCATGTCGCCACACATGAGAGCAAAATCTAGAATAGAGAAATTTTGGCATAGTTGAAATCAGTTACGGAAATAAAAGTATTCTGTAATCTGGTCAAATAATGAGGTAAGTGGGAGACTGCAGCAAATGCCTACACATCTTCTCTTGGGACAAGATCCCAGATCAGCATTACTGATGATCTACAGAAGAAGGGTGATCAGCTTTCCTTTTGACTGTACCAGTACAGAGAAACAAGAGATAAGAAAGCATGCTTGGCTTTCTCTCTTTAGTATCACGGGTTTTTAAAAAATAAAAATATAATATAAAGAACATGAGATCATTCTATCCAGTTCAGACTCAGACCCAAACAGAGCTATTAAAGCTACACGGTATAAAATTTCAATGGTAGTTTGTGATTTTCTAGACAGCAATGTCTCTTCTAATATGTAACAATATAAATTTTCTTTCTTCTTCCTATTTCTGTTAAACACAGTCTTAAACAACTAGAAATGCCTGTTTTATCTCTTTTTCCTCTTGTTTGGTATAAATTACAAGAAACATACTGATAAAACCATATGCAGTTTACAGAAAACATTAGTTAACCACAGAAAGTCGGCAACTTCATGATCTATGTCAAACAAATAGAAAAAATTAGGGATAGTCTAAACCACTGGTGTAGTCTCTGATTTTAAAACATGTCTCAAACTTATCTAGCAGTGTAAATTATTCCCAATATAAATCTCATTTACACTGATAAAAGGAGGGTAAGTACAGACAGTATAGATAAGAATTGGTAACAAACTTCTAAAACGTCTATGCAAGCATTTTCCTTCAGCGGATGCTTCCTGATCTCTTAGGCATTTGAATAGTACCCCAGGTTTATAATAAACTAAAAAAAGGCTAGGAAGTGTTGCCCAAGGACTTTTCATGGAATAAGGCTTTACTGCACAGAAGATTGGTCTGCTGATTTTTGAGTTCATTCTCTTAAGAGTCATATTAAAAAGAGCAACAATAGGTAAATCATTATGTCCTTCAAAGAGGTTTAAGCTTATTTCTTGATGCTCCTAAAAAAATGGTAGCTTGGCAATTCAGTTTTATCTGAGCCCCTGACGATACACAATGCATAACACAACACTGGAGAGATGCGATTTGCTGCAAAGATTCTGAAAGATCTGATTTGTTGCAAAGCCACCCAAGGAGACTGTTTGCCCTTGAGCTGTTTTTTTCCCCTCCTTTGGAAGGTGGGAGGAGTTTGGTGGTCAGACTTCCCAGGTGGTTTATAAGTAATACTTTTTTAGGAAGTACTAAAAATGAAATACTTTATTTTGTTACTTTTTTTTTTTTTTTTTCACACATCATTGTTTGACTTGGGAGTGGAAACCCCTTTTCTCATCTGTTTTTCAGAACAAGTCATCTCCAGGGCTTCAATAAGCAGGAAATACAGAAAAAATTGTGTTGAATTGCTCTTGAAAAACTACAGTTAATAGGCTTTAAAATGTTCCCCTAGTATTTGTATTATTCCCTAAACATGCCCTGTGTGAAACACTGACCAATAAAAATAATTTAAATGTTAAGCTAACTGACAAGTACTTAAGCATGACCACTGCTGTTACATTAGAAACCCAACAGGGATTTTATTCACATCCGTCCAATTTTTATGTCTTAAGGTTCCCTTGTGTTGCTACTGGAAACCACTGAGAAGCTCCATGGAGAGCTAGGTGGGTGAGTCTCAAAGAAAGAAAGTCTGCATTTAAACTTCTTCAGTTTTGTGGGTTTTGGTTTGGGTTTTTTTTTTTGTTTTTTTTTTTTTTTGAGCAAGGAAGCTGTTGAGAGAATATGGGAAATGAGGGAACTTTAACTGTTTTTCTGCAGACACTCTGGTGTTTAATAACTTCCTTCTAACAGGCACCTCCAGCATACCAAAATTTCACTGGGTATTTTCTTACACATAAATACCTCTTTAGAGAACAAAGCCTGCATTAGATGTTTGCTACTTTCAGGCCTTGAACTTTTCCTATCCATAAAGCCACCAAAGAAGGAAGAAGAGCCCCCAGTGGCTGGCAGTTCCTCAGGCACTGGCCAAGGCTTTGGCAAGTGATGGCTGTGGCGTGGTGGGTGCTGCTGGAGAGGATCAGGTTTCAGGAAGGAGCCGAGACCAGTGTTAGGTTATGAAGTGCTGCTGTTTGCCTCCCAGTAGCCAGGAGAAGAAATAACAATGAAAGCAACCTTTTTAGGCTTTCTTTGTAAGAAATATGTGGTAATCAATTGCTCCCCCTCAACACAGAAAGGTCACCTTTGGAAATTGAGAGCATGTGTCCAATGAGCATGGCCATTTCTTACTATTTTCCGCATTATTTTTTTTGTTTAAGACATACATTGTTTCTGTATGAAAACCATGGGAAAGTAGCTAGCTCTAGGTATGCAACACTTCTCTAGGGAACTGCTAACTTGTAAATGTTGAAACAGTACTTCTAGCGCAGGCAATGGCTAGCTGGGATTCCTCACAGTGGCAAGTGAAACAATGCCTTAAAGAAATGCGCAGAATTGCCAAGGCAAAGTGAAGCTGAAATTCTCCAAATTCTTGAAAAGTTTCAAGGTCAGGAACACTGCGGGGGTGGAGGAGCACACAGACAACAGTACCGAGCTAAAAAAGTTAGCAGCAGAGAATCCCTGAATCCTGAATTGTGTAAGAGAGCCAAGGGGGGTGTGCTTTGATGCATTGAAAGGCTTACACTTGATTGAAAAAAGCACTTAAAATCTTTAAATAAAGACAAATAATGTGATGTTGTTCTCCTTCTTCACTTCTACTATAAACACAGTAGGAAAAGCATCTGTTGCCAATCACAATCTCAGTTACTTCTAATTCCCAATCTACCTTAAAATACAAATGTAATATATAAATCTCTGCACTCATAAAATATATATTTGCAAGTTTATGCACAGATTTTTTGAAAACTGTATTAGTAGATCCAGTTTCTTCTACCATGGCTGGAGAACTGCAGTCTGTCATACCAGCATGAGTTGTGGCAGCTCCAAGAGGCAGGCCAGCAGTACAGTAAGGGAAGGCTACCAGCTGGGTTTTTATAGAACTACCTGCACAGTATTTCACATTTGCTCCGCACTTTCTAACTTTGCAAAACCATTCTGTATTTCTATACATGTTTTGAAATCCCACATAAATGGTGAAATCACATTTTAATGAAGCACCTCTGATAAATTATGATAGATTGATGTCTTAACTGCTGTTAATTGACAGTAAGTGATCAGCTTTTGTGAAACAGTACTTTAGAGACCTCATACAATTCTCTAGCAGTCCTACCATGAAAAAAAAAAAATCTGCTTCTAGTGTATTTATTTTGAACTACTGTAGTAGTTCATCTAAAGGGCAACAAAACTGGTGAAGGGTCTGGAGCAAATGTCATACAAGGAGCAGCTGAGGGAACTGGGGTTGTTTAGTTTGGAGAAGAGGAGGCTGAGGGGAGACCTCATCGCCCTCTACAGCTACCTGAAAGGAGGTTGCAGAGAGCTGGGGATGAGTCACTTTAACCAAGTAATAAGGGATAGGACAAGAGGGAATGGCCTCAAGTTGGGCCAGGGAAGGTTTAGACTAGATATTAGTAAGCATTTCTTTACAAAACGGGTTGTTGGGCATTGGAATGGGCTGCCCAGGGAGGTGGTGGGGTCCCCATCCCTGGAGCTGTTTAAGAGTCGGGTCGACTTAGCGCTGAGGGATGTGGGGTAGTTGGGAACTGTTAATGTTGGGTTGATGGTTGGACTGGATGATCTTCAAGGACTTTTCCAACCTAGACAATTCTGTGATTCTGTAATAATAAATCATATTTATAAAAAATCTGAATTAAAGGTTGATCCTGATTTACAATAAAAGCAATACTTTTAATAAAAGATTCACACAAATGTAACCTAAACTTAGAACTAGACTGACACAGATCACACTTCCATGTAAAAACCCATGAAATTCTGGGTTTTCAGCTGCTTGCAGTGTGTGGTACGAGACATGTAAAGACACTCTGCAGCTTTTGCCACTGAAAGTGATGTGCAGTGTCCCAGTGGAGCAGGACCAGATCCAAAAATAGTTTTCTCTTGATAAAGACATTTAAAAATGACATTTTTCTGTGTGGTTTTTTACATTACTGACAAATTCCTCCTTTTTTTTTTCTACCCTATTTCTTCTGCCGGCTCTGAATCTCCGATTAACAGGGAGCAACCTGAACTTTCACTTCTCTTCTTGCCCATGACAATGGCTTACAGCCCAAACTCTGGTCAGATTGTTACAGTGTGAAACATCCAACAGTCAGCACTTTCACCACTCCTGACAATGACACACAGTGCAGAAAAAATCCAAACTGACTCTCAAGATGCTGTTGTGCAATTCACATTTGAAATTACTTGTATAATCAAGTTCCTGTTGTAAAGCACATTTTTTTTAATGAACTAAAAATAATTTCAGAAACACCAGTGCTCCCTTACACTTGTGAAAGAGAACAGTAAAATCAGCTCTATCATTTTTCTCTTTCCACACAATCTTTTGTTTGGAGGTAGGAAAGCCTTTCAGCCCGAAAACAATAAGTAACTCTGATCACCCAGTTTGTAAAGACATGTGCAGATTAATGCCGTACTTACCACTCCAACAGGGAAAGCCAGAACAGCCATCACCCAGTCACGAAGGGAAATGAGTTTTTTCAGCTGCCTCTCTTGCTCTTGACTGTCATTTCCTTTAGTGAGAAGACTGGACAAGTCAGTCAAGACACAGATCCCAAAGAAGACAGCCTGGATAACCTGCACAGAAGAGGAACACACATGAATACAGACAAGACCAGACCTTTGGCAGCTAGCAGGCTTGACACAGGTACCCATGAGGAATAATGCCACATAACTGACATGGGGAGTGGGAAAACATCAGTCCTTTAAATATGGGTAAAGTTTGTACACACAGAAGCCACTTGTGCTTCTAGATTGAAAGCCCTGCATGCACCTTGCTCCTCATGTATGGGGGGAGTAGATGGGAATGGAAGGACAGTTCCAGAGGTGGGATTTCCCACCCTCACCTCAGACATGTGCTACCTGCCAAGGACTGAACTGCATCCACCCCTTCCTGCTTCATTCCATACAACTCAGACCCAAAGCCATAGCATTTGCCTCTGAGGTAGAAAAAGTGAGAAATACTCTCTATAAAAAGAAAGGAAAGAAAAATGATGAGCGGTTCTTCCTGTGACGTCCTGAGAGATGCAGCACATAGGCTGGGTGTTGGCAAATCTATCACTACTTCATCTCAGGTAGCAAATGACAGAAGAAGCAAGTGGCAGGAGTTATTCAAGCTTTTATTACATGATGGTGGACTGTCATATACCTGCCTTCTCCCTTTTTTGCATTTGCCTATTTGTGTGCAATACTGTAAGACTATCTGTTATACTACATTTGTAGTTTGATCACCTGAACCCACTGATTTGGTTCAAACTTGACTTGATCTTAGTTTGATCACTGCATTTTTCTTCCTTAATTAGCTCAGTAAGATTGTAGTAAGTTATCTCAGGAACGTTCTTGCCTGAGGACCTGTGCATCCTTTCTAGTACAGTTCAGATGAAGTGCACAGAGCTTTTTTACTCCCTCATCTGGAAGCCTGGGTCACAAATCCACATGTAACCTCAGGTAAAAAAATAATAAAACATGGGCTTGGTTCCCAAATTGCACAGTGCTTCATCAAAAACATAAACATACGCTTAAAATACATACTAGTTGTTTTTCAAAGCAAGCATAAAGTACTAGTTTAAGAAGTCTTATTTGTAAATCTAAGTGTTCTTCTGACTAGGAAGGAAGGAAGGAAGGAAGGAAACCAAATATCAAACAGATGTTGGCTACTAGAAAGAAATCCAGAGATATGTTACAGTTGAATGGATTAAAGTACATTCCCTTCTTCAACAATCCTTACATGACCCAGATACTTGTAAATTCTGGCTGTAAAGCTGTGAACGACACATGTTCAAATGGTCCCTGGACCTGTTTTCAAGTCTGCTGTCATTGCTCTCCCCTCTCTAGGCTGTAACTACCTATAATTTGCTTGATAAATAGATGAAGCAACATTACAAAACATTCCCTGAAGGCATGAAATGTGACAGACTACTAGTGCTAGAGCTGCACATTGTGCTAAAAAAAGGTATTACTACTTCAGATGACTACCTGGAAAAGTTACTATATTCTACAAAATTTCTGAAAAACATTTTATATAAAAGTTGGGGTTCCTTGGAGCTACATAATCACATAAACTCCTAATGCACTTTTTCATATTATTTGTTTGAAAGAAGCACTTAGTAGAAAAAAATCTTCACATACTCAGCCCTGTTTTCCACCAAACAGATGGCCTATTTGGAGAGAAGGAATAGAAGAACTAATTATGCATTTGCTACTTATGAGAAGATATGATACGATCTACTATTCACTCAAGAGTGTGAATGCCAAAAAAGGAAAAAGATTTAAGACAGGACTGGAAAAAAAAAGTATACCTAAGAGTAATGAGATCAATCTGGGTGTTAAAAAGTTTAGGCTGAGTACCAGGAAATATTTCCTAACAGTGAGCTCTATCAGACCATGAAATAGTTTCTCAGAGGAAGTGGTGGAAGCCTCATGGCTTGAGTCACTCAAACCAATATTGGACAAAACACTCAATAATGTGCTGCAGGGAACAGTATTATGCTGGCAGGGCTTGGACAAGTGACTAATGGATTGTTTGCAGCTCTAACTATGATTCCCTGAAATGGTCTCTCTCCAAAGAAACATAGACTCAAACAATCACATGCCCACTTTCCAAGGGAATTGAGATTGTGCATCTACTAATCAATCACAAACGGAACAGCCTCTCTCCCCATTATCCCATTATGAACACATCACCTTCAAGGGAAAATACAATGATATCATCGGGAATAACTGAAAACTCCTAAAGGGAAGGAAAAGTACCCAAAGATTTCAGAGAGTAGGTATGAAGTAAACTATTCTACAAAAAGATTAACAAATAAAAATCCATATAGGAAAGAGAAAATTACATTTTTATTGAGAACATTCAGAGACAATGAAAAAATCGTAGTGTTCAGGGAGGAACAGTTCCAGCTTATTCACACAAATAATGTATGCACATTCACTCTAATACTTCCTTTCCTTTCTAAAATGTGCAAGAAAACTCTTCTGACACCTATCAACATTTAGGATTAGACTGAGGACCTCCAGAGCTACATGAGTCTCAGCAGCATAAACTGAACAGCCAGAATCAGTAACGATTTACATCCTTTGTGGGTCTGGCATAGGAAAAGTGTAGCATGCAACTACTGGTGGTTTATGGTATGAATCAAATTTTTAAAGTCCATGCTCCTCAGTGTGAATGCTGTCTACCAGATGTGAAAAGTTCACAGTAAGGGAGTAGAAACTCCCTCTAAACAATATTCTCCAAAGTGCCCTGGTGTTACCTCAGATTTAGGATCACATTTTCAAAACAAGAACCTTCTTTTGAAAATCTGCAGGTGGTGAACCTTACATGAAACATCCCTGAGACATTAAACAAATAGTTGACTTTTTTTTCCCCTTGGAAATGTAAGCAATAACAGCACTTCAGAGGAATTATCTTCCAGTTTTGCCTCTAACTAGAGTTTGAAGGAAAACAGTGATTTAGAAAATGACAAATTTGACAGAAAACAGCCATACCTTCCTTATACCATGTAACAGTGATAGAGGCAGAAACTTGTAAGCAGACTATGCAAAACCAAGAAAATAATTCATACAGGTATAAAATACTAATTTACTGCTGACCCCATTTTCTCCATTGAAGTGTAGAGGGACCACTGCTACTATAGTTGATTAGACTAGAATACCCTTAAACTGTGATAACACAATGATAACAGAAACTTAACTTTAACTTCCCAGACATCTGCTGGAAATACAACACAGCAGAGCAGGACCAGTCCCAGAGATTCCTGGAAAGTGTGGAAGATAACTTCCTGACACAGCTGGTGAGTGAACCGACCAGAGAAGGTGCCCTGCTGGACCTCCTCTTTGTGAACAGAGCAGGACTGGTGGATGATGTGGTGGTTGGAGGCCGACTAGGGCACAGCAATCATGAAGTAATACAGTTATCTATTCTTAGAGAGGCCAGGAGAGCTTACAGGCCTGTCAGCTTGACTTCAGTGCTCGGGAAGCTGATGGAGCAGCTCATCCTGAGTACCATCACACAACACGTGCAGGACAACGATCAGGCTCAGTTAGCATGGGTCTATGAAAGGCAGGTCCTGACTGACAAGCCTGATCTCCTTCTACTACAGGGCAACCTGCTTACTGAATGAGGGAAAGGCTGTGGATGTTGCTATTAAGTCCAGTTGGTGGCCAATCACGAGTGGTGTCCCCCAGGGCTCGGTGTTGGGGCCACTCCTGTTTAACATCTTTATTGATGATCTAGACGAGGGGATCGAGTGCACCCTCAGTCAGTTTGCAGATGACACCCAGTTGGGTGGGAGTGTTGATCTGCTCGAGGGTAGGGAGGCTCTGCAGAGAGACCTGGACAGGCTGGAGCCATGGGCTGAGGCCAACTGGAGGAGTTTCAATAAGGCCAAATGCCGGGGGCTGCCCTTGGGCCACAACAACCCCCAGCAGCGCTACAGGCTTGGGGAGGAGTGGCTGGAGAGCTGCCAGTCAGAGAGGGACCTGGGGGTGCTGATTGACAGCTGGCTGAACAGGAGCCAGCAGTGTGCCCAGGGGGCCAAGAAGGCCAATGGCATCCTGGCTTGTGTCAGCAATAGCGTGGCCAGCAGGGAGAGGGAAGGGATCTTACCCCTGTACTTGGCACTGGTGAGGCCGCACCTCGATTCCTGTGTTCAGTTTTGAGCCCCTCACTCCAAAAAGGACATTGAATGACTCGAGCGTGTCCAGAGAAGGGCAACGAAGCTGGTGCAGGGTCTGGAGCACAGGTCGTACGAGGAGCGGCTGAGGGAACTGGGGGTGTTTAGTCTGGAGAAGAGAAGGCTGAGGGAAGACCTCATCGCCCTCTACAGCTACCTGAAAGGAGGCTGCAGAGAGCTGGGGATGAGCCTCTTTAACCAAGTAACAAGTGATAGGACAAGAGGTAATGGCCTCAAGTTGTACCAGAGAAGGTTTAGACTGGATATTAGGAAGCATTTCTTTACAGAAGGGGTTGTTAGGCATTGGAATGGGCTGCCCAGGGAGGTGGTGGAGTCCCCATCCCTGGAGGTGTTTAAGAGTCAGGTTGACATAGTACTGAGGGATATGATGGAGTTGGGAACTGTCCGTGTTAGGTTAATGGTTGGACTGGGTGATCTATAAGGTCTTTTCCAACCTTGATGATTCTGTGTTTCTGTGAAATGGCCATCAACAAGTAATTTAGTAATACAAAACTCTGAGCAGAGAAAATACTTGTTAAGTTGTGGCAGGAGAAACCAGCTATGAACAGAAGATTAAACCAAGCAGTCCAGAAATCTCATCAAACAGTGAGATCTATTCAGATTATACAGATCAGAAAAGATTGTTCCTTATGAACAATTAGAATAAAGTAAACTAATTGTACATGTGTCTCCTATGAGAAAATAAAGACATTCTTGAGTAGGACAGTTACTCCATAAGGTGCTCACTGAAGGATAGCAGCTAATGATATCCCTGTACTCCCCCTAATTTGTATTCTTAGAGTCAGACAGAAAATATATTTCCTTGTAAACCTTTCTTCAGGGCATGGAGACTCCCTTCTCCCCCATGCTATGGGGCTCCACAGTGCAGACAAAATCTCTGCA